ATGGATCAAAGATCTAAATATTGAAACAGAAACACTAAATTTGTTGGAAGACAAAGTAGGCAGAAATCTTGTTTTTTTTTTAATTTTATTTAAAAGGAAAAAGAGAAAAACACAAAACAAAACAAAGTGGTGTAAGGGTACAAGTAATACAGAACTACAAAAAAAAAACCAGTAAGAAATCACCAGTTAATAGATTACATATTATCATCTTAGAGATAGTTGCTCAAATCACAGTACCAAAGCATACAAAGTGGACATTCAAACAGTGAGATTGCAAACAGTTGTGTTCAATGACCCAACCAAAAACATTAATATGGTCAGCTATTTAACACCCCTAAACACACTTGCTGTTGTATCCTTTAGAGCTCTTTTTTTCCCTCTCTTTTTTACAACAAAATTTACACATTTTGGGTTTTATTACTCCTTAGTTCTTATTACTTTTTGGGGGGGAGAGAATAAAGTCAAATATGGCAAAACAAAGCTGTCAGTCAAAACCAAGGATAGACATAGCACATGATGTAAAACTGAGTACAAGGTTATCAACAATGGTTATCAACATCTTGAAGACACAGGGGTAGGTAGAGAATTCATGAACAGGAATCAAACTGCATGCGAAATACTTCACAGAATCAACAATTGGGATCATGTCCCGTTAAACAGTTTTTGCATGTCAAAAGAAATCTCCTGCAGAGTGAAAAGAGAACCCACAAATTGGGAACAAATCTTAGTGAACAGTCCCTCAGACAAAGGACTTCTGTCCAGAATTTTTAAAAAAATCAGATCCCCAAAATTCAAAAACGCATTCCAAAAATGGGCACCTGACATAAACACACAGTTCTCAGATGAAGAAATACAAATGGCAAATAAATACACGAAAAAATGTTCAACATCATTACTCATTAGAGAAATGCAAATTAAAACAGCACTGAGGTTTCATCTCACTCCAGAAATAATGGTCAGGATAAAGAAAACTACCAACAACAAATGCTGGAGAGGCTGTAGGTAAAAAGGAACTCTCCTGCACTGTTGATGGGAGTGTAGACTGGTGCAACCATTGTGGAGGTCAGTCTGGAGATTTCTCAAAAAACTGGGGTTGGAAGTCCCATTTGTTCCATCTATTCCACTTCTAGGCATATTCCCAGAAGAACTGAAAGCATCATACCACAGTGATATATGTGCACCCATGTTTATAGAAGCACAATTTGTAACAGCCAGATCTTGGAAGCAACCTAAGTGTCCATCAACTGAGGAATGAATAAAAAAGTTGTGATATTTTTATACAATGGACTACTACTCTGCTATAAAAATAATCATATTGAGATATTCATAAGTAAGTGGATAAAACTTGAGACCATATTCATAAATGAAATAAATCAAACTCACATGTTTAAATACTGTATAGTCTTCCTAGTGTAAGAAATGGTAAGAGTACATAAGATACAAAAACTCAATAAGCACAGTGAAAGGACAATAATCTGCTTAAATGAGAAAAAATAATATCTCAGGGAAAATGAGGAAAAAGAAAAAGGAAGGGAAAAGAAAAATATAAAATAATATAAATATACTTAGTATAGCTAAGATGATTGTGCTACAAATTCTATAAGTTCTTGAAACACATAGTTAACATTCATAGGATTAGATCAATTATGCATATTATTATGTAGTGATCTAAGGAACTCTTGAAGATCATTATATAAAATAAAAACCCTAGTTATGCTCATACCACCTTGTTTTGAAGGCCTATACTGTCAGTGTTCTGGGCTCTTTGCTATTGTTTGTATGTCTTTTTCGTTTCCTGTTTTTTTAGGAATTTGTTTTGTTTTGTTTTTCCCTCAAATACAGAAAGAATAGGTATACATGTAGAGACTCATGCATGCATAGGAACTTCCTAACAGTTTATGCGAATCGATTATATAATGCACGATGAAATGAATAGTTACTTTGCGGAAAAAGAGACACTAAGGTACCCAGTGCTGATTCCGTAGCATCATGATGAGAATTCCAGCAATATTATTATTCTTTGTTCAGAGTGATTTTAGTCTGTTTTGTGTTGTTTAATTTCAACCTACGTGAAGGTATGGACAGCTAATTTGAAGAAAACACGAGACATTATGGCAGCCATTGTTGACTTCCCTATTGTCTGGTCTTGAAGACCTAAAATGCCTTCATTACCCTGTTCTGATCTGTTTAGTACTATTTTGTTTGGTATGAATTCACTGTGTGTGAAGATATGGTCAATTATTTGGAAGAAAACAAGGGACAATGTGATAGACAGTGAAGATCTCCAGTTGTCTTGCTTTGAAATCTGTGTCTCTTACATTGTTTTCTTATGTTATGTTTTGTTCTGTTTAATTTTACCCTCTTTAAAATAAAGTAAAAAATAAAAAAAATTAACAAGGGCTGGAGTGTCCTGAGTTCAATTCCCAGTACCACAACAAGACACAATTCTGAGCCAAGAAAGGCAAACACCTATAATCTCAGTTACTGAGAAATGTGGGGCAAGAGGATCACAATTTTGAGTCTAGTTTGAGCAACTTAACAAGACCCTGTCCTGAAAGAAAAAATAAAAGTGACAAGGGATAAGGATTGTAGCTCACCCCTTGTTCTGTCCTCAGTAAAGCACAAAGGGAATTTAGCTCAGTGGCGTAAGCGCCTGCCTTGCAAGCAGGCAGTCGTGAGTTCGATCCCTGGTACCGATAAAAAAGGAAAAAGACAAAATAAGTAAATAAATAAATAAAAATTTAAAAATCGCATGTGACCCTAAAACAAATGCATCACAAAATTACTGTCTTTCCTACATATGACGCACTCAGGTATTTTCTGTTCCATTGTGTGATGTGCTGTTATTTCATTCTAATTCATAAAAAACAGAAAGTGTTGTTCCGGACCCATCTAGTTCTGTAGCCAAGGTCCCAGTGTGCCTCCACAGGCACCTCACTGCTCCAGGCCCACAGGAAAGGTTCAGGGAAACCTCACTCTGCCCTCTGAGTTAGCTCCCTTGAGACAATGGCCACTAGGATTCCAACTTCCCTGACCCTGACTAGGGAAATCTGGGAGGAGAGAAGAGTATTGTGCTAGCCTGAGGTGTGTTTGGGCGGGCTAGGCTGGACTGGGCCCAGAGTGGGAAACCAGTTTATCTGTCCCTCGTGCTACCTGTCCATCCTCCTTGGACCAGGGATTCCCACACCCCTAGCTCCCGCATTTCCAGGACCCAGGGACATAGCAGCCTTGCCAGCGGCCTGGCAGAGAGAGGAGAGGATGGCTAAGCCAGAATGGGCTTATGCAGTGGTGAAGTCTAACCTTCGCAGGAGTGTGGTTCTCTGCGAGGAGAGAGCAGAGCCAGCCATGGTGGTGCACACTTGTAATAGAAGCACTCCAGGAGGCTGAGGCAAAAAGAATGCAAATTCAAGGCTAGCCCCTGCAGTGTGGCTATTTAGCAATACCTGACCTCAAAATTTAAAAGCAAGTAAATAAATAAAGGACTGGGGATATAGCTTAGTGCCAACGCCCTGGGTTCATTCGTCAGTACTTTGAAATGAAAAGGGGAGAGGGGCTGCCTAATCCAGTTGTCCACAAGGAGCAGGGTTTGTATTTTGCCTCCCAGGGGGACATTCAGCAATGTCTACAGCCATCTTTGGGTGTCGTAACTGGGAATGGGAGTTACTGGCTTGTAGTGGATAAACCTAGGGGTGCTGCTAAACATACTGCACAGGATATTACACATACACGCACACATATAGGGGTGAGGATATAGCTCGAGGTTAGGGTGCTTGCCTGGCTTTCATGAAGCCTTTGGGTTTGGCTCTCAGCACCATGAAAGAAGAAAGGAATTAGTCAATCAAAAACATGAGTGGTAGCAAGGTTGGGAAAGCCCGTGTGACAGATGGTGCTTAGAGGGTTCCTACCGGGAAGGCCTGGCGAGAGGGCAAAAGGACAGAGCAGTTCCCCAGTCAGGCAGCTTTCCCATGCATATATCAAGTACCCACATCAGCTTTCAGTCACTGGCCATGGGGCACAGGCTGGATGTGATGCCCTCACCACAAGCATGTTTCCTTCATTATACTACAAAGGGTTGAAGTTGCTTCCAGTTCTGATGCTGATTCTTTCGCAACAACCCTCTCACCTGTTCCAGGTGTCCTTTCCAGGCAGGAGCTGGGGCTTCACTGTCACTTGAATGTCCACTACCCATTGCAAGGACCAGGGCTTTGAGAGCCTACCAGCTCCCTAGAACGCCACTCTTGACCTTCGTGTGTGTGTGTCCTTGCATGCATGTGCTTGTGCATGTGTGTGCTGGGGCGGGGTGTGCAGTGCTGTGAAGGGAGCCCAGGGCCCTGTGTGTGATAAGTAAGTGCTCTAGCACGGGGCCACATCCCCAACCTCTCTCCTGCTTCTTTGGATTAGTGATTCTCTTTACACTGCTAATCTCATCTGAGCTGCTTTGTATTGTTAAAATTGCTTTTTCAGTACCAGTACCCTAGGACCTTCACACTGAGCTACATTCCAAGCAATTTACTTATTTGTTCAGTTAATGATTTAGGGACAGGGCAAAAGATTTCTTTCTAAATCATTGAAATTGCCTAACCTGGATTCAGATTTGCAGTTCTGCCTTAGCCAGAATGCTGGGATTATAATCTTGTGACTCTACACCTGGTGTATTTTAGGAATTCCTCATAGTTTCTGCCCCCCAGATGGCTTCCTCTCTTGTCCCCAGAATTTCATGAAATCTTTTCCTCTTGTTTCAGAAGACTGGTGGGAGGTAGACAAGTTAGTCCAAGCAGCTAACTTCAAGTAGTCTTTGACAATGGTTTTTAATTTATTTAAAATTAGCTTTATTTGATCTTGTGGTGCTGGGGATTGAATCCAGAACACTCACACTCAGCTACATTCACAGCATTTAAATTTTTTTCATTTTATAGAGGATGAATCAATAAAATTAATCAAAACAAAGTAGTATAAGAGATACAGGAGTTCAAGACATTAAAAAATCAACAGTATGGGCCATGGCCGCCGCCGATGCTGAGCAGGCAGTTCCAGCCAAGGGGGAAACTAAACAGGATTGCTGCATGAAAACTGAGCTGGTGAGAGAAGATATTCTTATGGCTGCTGATGAAGGTCTTGCTCAGAAACCAGTGGGAGAAACTCCCATGGCTGCAGATGGGGAGACCAATGGGGCCTGTGAAAAGAGCGGTGACACCAGCCACATGGATGGAGCCAAACTCACTCAGCAGAGCACCAGATCCAGCCCCCAGGAAGGTGGCCACAGAGCAGCCCGGATAGCGGAGAATGGGGTTTCGGAAAGAGACGTAGAAGTAGGGAAGCAGAATCATGTCGCTGCTAATGACTTCGTTCAGACATCAGTCATTGGTAGCAGTGGATACTTCTTAAGCAAATCTGCTCTCCAGGGGCAGCCTTCAAGGACTCCAAGTACCCTAGCCTCCTCGCTTCCTGGCCATGCTGCAAAGACCCTGCCTGGGGTGGCTGGTAGAGGCAGGACTCCAAGTGCACTTCCTCAGGCACCAGCCGCAGCACCATTGCCTGGGCCTGGGGGAGCAGATGGAGAGGACCAGAAACCTGCAGCTTCTGGCACTGATGTCAAGGTTCACAGGGCACGCAAGACCATGCCGAAGTCCATTTTAGGCCTGCATGCAGCCAGCAAGGACTCCAGAGAAGTTCGGGAAGCGAGAGACCATAAGGAACCAAAAGAAGAGATCGATAGGAACGTTTCTGATTATGGACGACAACAGCTTTTACCCCCTTTCCCGTCCCTTCACCAGTCGCTACCTCAGAATCAATGCTACATGGCCACCAGGAAGTCACAGACAGCTTGCTTGCCTTTTGTTTTAGCAGCTGAAGTATCTCGGAAGAAAAAACGAAGAATGGGAACCTATAGCCTGGTTCCTAAGAAAAAGACCAAAGTGTTAAAGCAGAGGATGGTGATTGAGATGTTTAAGAGTTTAACTCATTCCACCGTGGGCTCCAAGAGTGAGAAGGCCTTGGGTGACAGCACTCTTCACGTGAACGGGGAGAGCTTGGAGATGGACTCAGACGAAGATGAGTCAGATGAGCTTGAGGAGGATGAGGACCATGACCACGGAGCTGAACAGGCTGCTGTGTTTCCCACGGAGGACAGCAGGACCTCTAAAGAGAGCATGTCCGAGACTGACCGTGCCCCAAAGATGGATGGTGAGTCAGAGGAAGAACAGGAATCTGCTGACACTGGAGAGGACAAGGATGGTGGAGACGAGTCTGACCTGAGTTCTGAATCCAGCACCAAGAAGAAATTTCTCAAGAGAAGAGGGAAGGCTGACAGCCCTTGGATCAAGCCAGCTCGAAAAAGGAGGCAGAGGAGTAGAAAAAAGCCAAATGGTACACTAGGTACCGAGGCCTGTAAGTTGTCACCAGGAAACACCGAGCAGATGGCTCCAGATGACAGCTCTGGATATATGGAAGTCTCTCTGGACTCACTGGATCTCCATGTCAAAGGGATTTTGTCCTCCCAGGCAGAAGGGCTGGCCAATGGTCCAGACATGCTGGAGACAGATGGCCTCCAGGAAGTACCTCTCTGCAGCTGCCAGATGGAAACCCTGAAGAGCTGTGAGATTACCACCCTGGCCAACAACCAATGCATGGCCACCGAGAGCATGGACCATGAAGCTGGAGCCAATATTGATACCTGCTCGAAAGACCAGTGGACTCCACTGATGGAGGCTGCAGAGAACAACCATTTGGATGCAGTGAAGTACCTCATCAAGGCTGGGGCACAGGTGGACCCCAAGGATGCAGAGGGCTCCACCTGTTTGCACTTGGCTGCCAAGAAAGGCCACTACGATGTGGTTCAGTATCTGCTGTCCAATGGACAGACGGATGTCAACTGCCAGGATGATGGCAGTTGGACACCGATGATCTGGGCCACTGAGTACAAGCATGTGGAGCTTATGAAGCTGCTGCTATCCAAGGGCTCCGACATCAACATCCGGGATAATGAGGAGAACATTTGTCTGCACTGGGCAGCCATTTCAGGCTGTGTGGACATAGCAGAGATTCTGCTAGCCGCCAAGTATGACCTGCATGCTGTGAACATCCATGGGGACTCACCCCTACACATTGCCACCCGGGAGAACCACAACTGTGTTGTCCTCTTTCTTTCTCAGGATTCAGATGTCACCTTAAAAATCAAGGAAGGAGAGACACCTCTGCAGTGTGCTAGCCTCAACTCCCAGGTGTGGAGTGCCCTGCAGGTGAGCAAGGCGCTGCAAGACTCAGCCCCTGACAAGCCTGCTGCGGTGGAGAAGATTGTGAGCAGAGACATTGCACGAGGCTATGAGCGCGTCCCCATCCCCTGTGTCAACGCAGTGGACAGTGAGCCATGCCCCAGCAACTACAAGTACGTGTCTCAGAACTGTGTGACGTCTCCCATGAACATCGACAGGAACATCACCCATCTACAGTACTGCGTGTGCACAGATGACTGCTCCTCCAGCACCTGCATGTATGGCCAGCTCAGCACGCGCTGCTGGTACGATAAGGATGGCCGGCTCCTGCCCAAATTCAACATGGCAGAGCCTCCCCTGATCTTCGAGTGCAACCATGCCTGCTCCTGCTGGAGGAACTGTCGGAATCCTGTCGTGCAGAATGGGCTCAGGGCAAGGCTGCAGCTCTATCGGACACAGGATGTGGGCTGGGGTGTGCAAACCCTACAGGACATCCCCATGGGCACCTTCGTCTGCGAGTATGTTGGAGAGCTGATCTCTGACTCAGAAGCTGACGTTAGGGAAGAAGACTCTTATCTCTTTGACCTTGATAATAAGGATGGAGAGGTGTACTGCATCGATGCACACTTCTATGGTGATGTCAGCCGCTTCATCAACCACCACTGCGAGCCCAACCTCGTGCCGGTGCGTGTGTTCATGTCCCACCAGGACCTATGGTTCCCCCGGAGTGCCTTCTTCAGCACCCGCCTGATCCATGCCGGAGAACAGCTGGGGTTCGACTACGGGGAGCACTTCTGGGACATTAAAGGCAAGCTCTTCAGCTGCCGCTGTGGCTCCTCCAAGTGCCGGCACTCAAGTGCAGCCCTGGCACAGCGGCAGGCCAGCGCAGCTCAGGAGGCCCAGGAGCATGGCCTGCCAGACACCAGCTCTGCAGCTGCTGCTGACCCACTATGAGGTGCAGAGGGGCTGGGAGGGCCTGCCAACCATGACTTAGAGGAGGTTCTGTCCGGAATATCTTCAGGGTCCCGCAGAGACCAGGGAGCGGACCCTTCCCAGGAGTGTCCGTTCTGAGGCCTCACACAAGCCCAGCACGGGGCTGGAGTGCACTCTGGCCCACATGCACCTCAGTGACCCTGGGACTCCATGGGGTGACCTTGTGGGCTTTGACAGTAGTCTTGTCCTTGCGATGGTTCTCATTTCCTCCTCTGGTCTCAGAAGTTCTCGCCCCACTACTTTGTTTGTTTGTTCTCCTGCCCGGCCCAACACCCGTGTGGCTCCCGCTGCAGCTGCTCCATGAGACCAGTGCCTCCTGTGGGGCTGGGCAGCTCCAGGGCTGCACACAGGACATGTCCACAGCCCCGAGTGGTCAGGGTGGCCCTGCCCTGGCTCTGGAGGAAACGTGGGCTTGCTCTTTAATGATGCCCTCTCTCTGTGTACCAAGCCCTGCTGGCATTTCTGTGTGAGGGCTGGTGGGCAGGCAGACCCCACGCAGCCCCACCAGCTGCACCCAGGCTGGCAACTTTTGTTGATTTTTAAGCCGCATGCTATGATGATGAATAAACTGATTTATTTTCTACCATTACTGAACATTAGGACAAACAAAGAATAAAAACAGAAAACACAGACAACGGTGCTGAATCTGGTGTGGTTTCTACTCACCATGTGAAAATAAACTATCAACTGTAAAAAGACCAAAGTGATTTTAGAATTAAATGCAGGAAACACTTTTTTAAAATGTTAGCCTTGTAGTGTGAATAAATTTGCTGTCACCTTTTGTGTGACAGTCTGGCAGATCATGTACTTTTTCGGCATATACCTTTCTAAATACTGTAATTAGTGCAGGGCAGTGGAGTTCTTTTCATGTGACTCTTCTAAACATTCATAATGCAGTTATGTTTATTTTTTCTGTTAAAATGTTTTTGACGGTTTTAAGAGCAGTCTTTTGGCTCAGACCATTTCCTGTTCTGTTTTCAATGAAATCAATAAAAAAAGAAAAAAATCAACAGTAGTTACCATAATGCATTTTGATGTCTTCAAAAGAGCTGCAGATATCTTTGGGCATAGTAAAAATCAAATGGAACAGAACAGAATCAAACAATAAAAGGAAAACAATGAATGCAATAAAGGATTTCAAAACAAACTAATAGTAAATCCAAAATTGCAGCCATAATATATATTGCTATCTTTGAAATAGGTGCTCCTACCATTCGATTTAACATGATCAAAAAAAAAGAGAGAGAAAGACCTAACCCAAAAAAAAAAAAAAACAATGGAAATGATATAGGACCTCAAAAGAGGACCATAGGGAATCAACCATGATTGTAACCCTCAGAAGGAGACACCCCCCCATGCCACACTGTGGTGCTTTGGTGTTTCACTAACATTGCAGGTCCTGCAATGTTAGTGAAACACCAAAGCACCACAGGCATACAATTGCATTTATCTTGATAGCTATCATCACAGCCTATGTTTCTCTGGATAAGCCAGCTGCTTACCAGGCAGGGTCGGGGGAATAGTACATCTTGTATTGCCAGTCTGCACTCTGGAAGAGGCTGGGGTCTGGCTTTTCCCAGTGCAGCGGCGGCTTGCACATGGTGCTGCTTCCCAGATTGGGCTTGTTTGGTGGTGTGCCTTTGTTCTCTCTCCTCCCAGTCTCCAAATGACGGTGACTCACAAGAAGAGGCTTGGGTCTAGCTGTTCCCAGTCCATTATACAGTTCTTTAAAGAAGGGGAGCCATAGATCAGGTGACTTTTTCACATCTTGCTAATCAGAACCTTCTGTCAGCTTTTACTTTTTATTTTGAGCTAGGATCACACTAAGCTATTCAAGCTGGGCTTAAACTTGCAACCATCCTGCCTCAACCTCCCAAAGTACTATAATAGTGGTCATGGACCACTATGTTTCATTTAAGGGTGGTTTTCAAAGTTCCTGGTAGAGTTGCTTTGGTTTTGTTGTATTGTGTTCAGAGAATGACTCTTGCCATTTTTCAGTATTTAGCAGAGGGATGTCAAGACTGTATTCATGGTCTAATACATGGCCCATTCTTCTTATTAGTCACAGTTTAACCTATAAGTATGAACTTGCCCATGCTTCTAAATTGCATCATCTGACCCTTTGGCAGCTAATGAGAAAGCCAGATTCTACATTTTGATGTGCAGTGTTTCCTATAACCCCAAAGTGGTGGGAGATCTGGAAGATCCTGGCTATAAAGCAGCACTGGACAGTAAAACCTGAATATGTGCACCCCCCACCAATGTCAGAAGTTAGCTGGAAATTGGTGTAGGCATGTGTTACTTAATTGTCTTTATCTAAAGAAAAAATAAAATTCCTATCTCTATGTCAAACAGATGCTAACAGTTTGGAGCAAGATGCCTGGGCTAAACACCTCTGGTGACAAGAAGGTGAGAATGCTGTCCTCCTTGAAGGTCACATTTCAAAGAAAAGCCACAGGCCCTTAGGAAAGACCTTGGGGGCTGAACCCTTGCGAATGGTAGCTCATTTGCCTAGCATGTGTGAGGCCCCATGTTCCATCCCAGCACTACAACAGACAACAACTACAACAGCAGCAGGAACAACAAAAGACATTCCTGGGTTAGAGACTAAGGGAGAGGCCTCAATTTCAAAACAAGAATTTACAAAATATGTTTTCTTGTAGAAATTCTCTAAGCAAAAGCAAATAGTTCTCTTTTCCTTTTGACAACAGGGCAATTTCAGTTTTAAGGTTATTTACCCTCACAGATTATTCCCTCCCTTGGGTTACTCTCTTCTAGCAAGACCACAATTTTCTAGTTATGTCCATTGTTGTTTCTGCCTTTCCTTGGGGAGTTTGCAGCTGCATAAACATCCAATAGGTCCATCATAGGATGCAGTGCAAGGTAATAATTGGATTTACAGTAGAATGACTTTCTTCTTTTGTGACAGGGTCTCACTGCAGTTCAGGATGGCTTTGAATACACTATGTAGCTCATGTTGGCCTCAAATTCAGCGATTCTCCCTCCTCAGCCTCCTGAGTCCTGGCATTACAGATGTGCACCATCACGCCAGACTGATAGAATGTCTTAAAATGCAGTATAGACTGTAGTGATCCTTCCTCATCCACAAAGGATACATTCTGAGAATCCTGGAGTAGTATAGAACCCTACACAGCCGTCCCTCCATATCTGCCAGGGATTGTTTTCAGGACCAAATGCACAGGTCCAGAAATCCAAAAGTGCTCGGGCCCCTCATGTAAAATGATACAGTATTTGCATTTAACCTCTGCAATCCTCCCATGTCCTTTAGATTAACTCTAGATGGCTTCTGATACACAGTGCAATGTGAATGCTACAGAAATAGTTGTCACACTGTACCACTTAGGGATGGACAAGGCAGAAAATCTGTAATTATTCAACAGATAGAACTTTTTAAAGAATTGTTCTGATCCACAGTTTTGTGGAATCCTCAGGCATAGAATGTTACCAACTGATTCACTGTCGTTGTTGTTCTGGGATTACAGAAGTATATCACCACACCCAACTTGCTTGTGCTTTTTAACAAAAGCTCTCTCCTTTCTAAGTCTCTCCTTAATCTAGTGCCTCTGCTTGTTTAGCCCAGTTTTATTTTTAAAAAAACTCACCAAACCAAGTGCTGTAACAGACACAATACAACATCGGCACTCTGTGGAACTAAGGCAGGAGAATTATGAGTTGAGCCCAGTATGAACAATTTAGCAAGATTCTGTCTCAAAATAAAACATAAAAAAGGATTGGGGGAGATTGGAGAAGATGGCAGATCAATAAGTAGCAAGATAGAGAACCTCTCTGAGAGAAACAGCTCAGATGCTGTAATTTACCACCATGGAGAAGACCAGATGAAAGGAGAGGAATTTTCATGACCCAGGAATAAACTAAGAAAAGAAAAAGAAAAAAAAGGAAAGAAAAGAAAAACATGGACACAATGCTGGAGCACTCTGATCAGAGCCAATCCAGCTCAAGATCATGGCACTCTCACTGGAGCTGGTCAGACTCTCTGACACGGTGCTCTCAGCCGAGCTGAAGTTGTGCTGAGGTCGGGTGTTGGTGAGCCCAACAGAGAACAGAGCCAGCATGGAGACCTGTACTAACTCACAGTGAGTGCTCGGAAATTGATCCTCCTGGGGGAGGGGAGTGAATGACTGACTGGACAACATATTAGAATTGGGCAGGACAGGCCTGAACAAGGAACGGCAGTGATTTCAGTGGGCAGGTCCATGCCCAGAGCAGATTGGTGGAATCTGCTTGGGCTGGGTCATAACCCTAGTCAGGATCCAATAGCCAGGGATGAAATTGTCCCTGAAGTTTTCCTGAACCAATTCCATCCACTCAACGCACAATAGCATGGTGAAGGCCCCCACTGGTTGACTGACTCGGAGGAAAGGGACCAGCCTACACCACCCCAGATTTCACCTCAGTGACCAACAGCAACCTGGAAAGGGCAGAAATCCCTAGACAGCATGCTTCAGAAGAATCATAACCAATATGGAAAGGGGCTGGGACTTCCACCATACACCTATTCTGGAAGAAACCAGACCATGACAAGAGAAAAAAATAAGAAGAAGCCTCCAGCCTCCAATCCAAGGAAAATGGGTCCAGGAGAGGTAAATACAGAAAATATTGAGGCAGCAAACATGCAATATCAGATACGGCATCAGCTGACATAAAGAAATATCTTCATGACATTATAGATTAACTTAAAACTGAAATGCTAATACAAGTAAAACAAGATATAAGAAGACTAATAAAAGAAATGCTAAGCACCTCTCAGAAGACACAAATGGAAGAAAGGAGGAATACAGAAAAAAGGAGAGAAAACTTCAATGAAGAATATTAAAACAAAACCTAGAAAACATGAAATAGATTCAAAGAGTCTAAAGGTAGACTAACCAAACTTGAAGATAGGTTTGCATTGTGTGATCACAAAATAAAGGATCTCTTAAAAATAACAAGTAAACAGGTAGTAACAATACAAAGGCTAGAAGATGACAACAGGGTCTATAACTTAAGGATAAAAAATGTGAGTGAAAGGGCCTGAAATTTAGCTCAGTGGCTTAACTGACTGCCTGGCAAGCATGAGGTCATGAGTTCAATCCCCTATACCCCCCAAAAAAAAAAAGAGTGAAGAAGCAGGGACAAACAAAAATGAAATACAAAGACTATTCACATAAATAATTAAAGAAAACTTCCCAAGCATAGGAAAAGGAAGTGATATTCAGATTATGGGGCATACAGAAGTCCAGCCAGCTACAACCAAAATAGTTCTATAACCAGGCATATAATAATCAAGATCTCAGAAATTCATCACAGGAACAAAATATTAAAAGCCATCAAAAAAAGAAACAGATCATGTATAAATGAAAACCCATCAAAATCACAACAGATCTCTCCACACAAATCATCAAATCAAGAAGAGCTTGGAGCAAAGTATTCCAAGCCCTGAAAGAAAATAACCTCCAACCCAGATTGATGTACCCTTAAAAACTGTCTCTCAAAATTAATGGAGAAACAAGATGTTTCCATGACAAAGAGGAACTGGGGGAATTCATGACCACCAATCCAACCCCTCAAAAAATACAGAAGGACATTCTAGAGAGAGAGAGAAATAAAACATCAGGATTTCAGGAACAATGGCAGAGAGGCCTCAATGAATGGGACAGACAGTGGAATGAGGGAGAAAAGTAGAAAACCAATGTTAGAAAAATAGTATAGCAAAAATGAGGCAGAGAAGGTTGGCTATAATCTCTTAACATAGATAGCCATGATATACTAACAAAAAGAAAAACAGGCAGAGTAGATCAGGAGATAGGATCCATCAAGATGCTCTGTATAGGAAATATAATCACCCTGAAAGAAGGTTTATGGACCAAAAGTCAAATATGAGAGACTAATGGTCTATGTGACAGGGAACCAGAGACAAACAGGGGCAGCTCGTCCAACAGCTGCAGATAGGTT